AAAGATCTCATAAACGAGATAGTCCCTTTTCTGATAGCCTCTTATCTCCATTAGCCTAAGCAGGTTCCATCCCATACCTCTTTCCCTTTTAAGTTATTGTTATCACAAACTATTATTTTTTGTGTTGTGAGTTTATGACTAAACTGAAGTGTTTATAATTATTTTTGATGCTGTCCTTCCCTTTATCTTTTATGGTATAATTGTTTGTTAACCTGTTCTGTTAGAGAGCTGCAATTTTCTGATTTTTTCTGTCTATTTATCTCCTTGCTCAAAGCTTTATAAACCTTTGCCTTTTTGTTACAGGTAGGAGGACTTCCTTCATCATTTCTTGTAAGGGAGTTCTAGTGGCAATGAACTTCCTCAGCTTTTGTTTATCTGGGAAAGCTTTTATTTTTCCACTGTATCTGAAGGATAGTTTCACTGGATAGAGTATTCTTGGCTGAAAGTTTTTGTCTTTCAGTATTTTGAATATATTATTCCATTCTCTTCTGGTAAGGTTTCTGCTAAGAAATCTGCTGAAAGCCTGATAGGGGTTCCTTTGTAGGTTATTTTCTTCTGCCTTGCTGCCCTTAATATTTTTTCTTTATCTAACTTTTGCCAGTTTTACTATTATATGCCTTGGAGAAAGTCTTTTTGTATTGATTAGAAGTTTTGTATTAATTGGGAGTTCTACTGGCTTCATGTACTTGTAATTCTGGTTCTTTCCCCAGGTTTGGGAATTTCTCAGCTATTATTTCTTTGAACAAGCTCTCTGCTCCTTTCTCCCATTCTTCTCCCTCTGGAATACCTATCTTCCTTATGTTGCTTTTCCTAATTGAGTCAGATATTTCTCAAAGAATTTCTTCATTTTTTTTTAAATCTTAGTTCTCTCTCCCTCTCTATCTGAAGCATTTCTATATTTCTGTCTTCTAATTCACTAATTCTGTCCTCCATAATATCAGCTCTATTTTTTATGGTTTCTAGATTATTTTTTATCTCATTAATTGTGTTCTTCATATCCAGAATTTATGTTTGGGTTTTTTTTAGAGTTTCAATGTCTTTAGTGAAGTATTCCTTCTGCTTATTAATTTTATTCCTGAGCTCATTGACCCATGTTTCTGAACTTTCTTGTAATTCACTGAGTTTCTTTATGACAACTACTTTGAATTCTCTGTCATTTAGATTGTAAATTTCTGTGAGTTCAGGATTGGTTTCTGGAGACTTGTCACTTTCCTTCTGCTCTGAAGTGTTACTGTAGTTCTTCATGGTATTTGATGAATTGTTCCTTTGCCAGCACATAGTGGTAGTATCAGGTTGCAGATTCCACCTGCCACCACAGCAGGAGCTGTGTTTTCTGATCCCATGTCACCTGCTACAAGTTGTGGAGGTAGGACTGCTCTGCATTTGCACAGGCTGGCCGCAGCTGCTCTGCAGGTTGTGCTCACATGGGCAGGGCCTCTGTGCTGAGTGGACAGGTGGCTCTCGCATGGGCAGGGCCACTGCCTTTGGCAGGGGACCAGCTAAGCTGCTGTACTAGGTGGAAGGGGCACCCAGGCAGGGGCTGAGCCATCACTCAGTGGGTCCTGCAGGCTGCTGTGCTCCGCAGGCAGTGCACCTTCTGAGCAGGCAGGGCACCTTCTCCCCTGTGCTGTGCTCAGTGGGCAGGAGCCTTCGCAGGAGCTGAGCTGTTACCACTCAGTGTAGAACGTTCCCACCAGCAGGGCCACTGCAGCACAGTGGGCACTCCCACGGGCCCAACTACAACTCTGACCGCATTCATGTGGGCCAGGCTGCCCCTGCCTCCTCTTACAGTTGCGCCGGCTGCTGTGTGAGGATCCGCGACCCGGCTCGCTGCTGCTGGGGAGGGGTAGGGATGTGCTCACCTAGTTCCACTGCCTCCCAGGGATCCAGTTCACCCACCTTCAGATGCACAGCTATGTGGATCTCTCAGACATTCTGCTGTGCTATGCAGGGAATCCTTTGCTGGTTAATGAAGGTCTATTTAATTGTAACTTAGAGGAGAGAGACAAAGGAAACAACTCACTCTGCCATGATGCTGACATCACTCTCGAGAATTTCTTGATCACTTACTATGTGCTAGTCCGCACACTGGGCCCAGTGGTCCACTGTAGACAGTAGCCAGTTTCAAATGTCCTTTCAAGACGACCAAACTTTTGGATGGTGGCTAGTAGTAAAAGTGGCTTTCCCACCTCTTTGCCTTCTCTAAAATGCCCTTCCAGATGCATCCTACTAACTCTTTAAGGCCCATCTAAATCACCACCTCCTCCATCAGGCTTTGATCCTTCACACACCCCAACCTCTAGCAGAAGTAATTTCTCCTCTTTTAGAATTCTCTTTGTCCATATTTTAAGAGACATATTATGTATAACTTGATTACCATTACTGCTATCTCCCCTCCTGGGCCATAAATTCCCTGAGATGAAAATTTTGAGGACAGCACTCAATGCTGTCAGCAGTCAGGGCGTGACAGCTCTCAGTCTTTTACTTTGTTTACTTCCTTGCATCCCATCACCACTCAAAGTGTAGTTCTCAGGACAGCAACATGAGCATCATGTGGGACCTCATTAGGAATGGAGAGTCTCCAGCCCCACCCCAGAACTACTTGATCAGAATGTGCATTTAACACATTACCTAGGTGATTCAGATATGCATTAATTTGAGAAGCACTGTTATATACAATGGATACTCAATAGTATTTTTTACATAATAAGCCAATTTCTACACAAAAATCTTCCCCCTCACCCACCCCATGCTGTAGACTGCAGAAGAGCTGAGGAGTACTCCCATTTTGAGGTGGAAAGAGTGATTTCTCCTTGCCTTCACTCTAGCTTGCCATCCATGGCCCCTATGTATTCTCACAGCAAGTCATTTATTCGTTCACTCGTGAAACATTGATTAAGTGCTTACCTACCATGTGCCATGCACTTTGCACATTTCATAAGAACACTTACCTCTCAACACTGAACTAGGTTTCCAGGTTTAGGGAGTTTAAATAGAATGAGAGTGGTATGTGACTTGGTGTGTTAAGTGGCTACCAGGGTGCTTGTCCATTCCAAAAACTCCTGGTGGATCAGCAGGGACGTGGCCCACCTCCAGGACTCAGCTGGCTGCTGCGCCATGGCCTGGTTCTCTGTGGTATAAAGCCCTGCAACAGTGTTTTCTCAAACATCGTCACACATTCTAATTACCTGGAAGGCTTGTGAAAACACAAAACACTGGGCCTACCCCCAAAACTTCTGATGCAGTAGACAATGACATACAAACAAGAAAAGAAACAGAAACACTAAATAGAGGTGCCTTTATTCTTTTAGCTTCCCTGATGAGGTATATCCTATCCAACCTTGTTCCCTTAGGCGTTTCAGAGATATTTGGAGAAAAGACTAAAGAAGGAAGGCCTTCGTTAAATGGAGCCCATTGAGAAAACCAAGTTCAGAAAGTACCCCAGATCTTGATAGGAAAAAGAGGGCCTGGTTTCCACTTATGTCATAAGCTTTGTGTGTTATAGCAGAGATGTGTTGTCAAAGGTAAAGGGACAAAGACTCAGCCCATGGTAAAGAAAATAAATTTGTGCAATAGTGCAGAGCTTCAAAACTAGGTTTAATTATCTTTTAGAGGCAAAAGTCAGTGGGCACATCCTGGTCCAGGAATAGCTCATTTGCTCTCTGTCTGCAGCTGTACCCAGGATTAAGGACAGTACCTTCCCTCGCCTCAGACTTGCCTCCTCTCTCACATACCTCATCCTCCACCTAGCATCATTATGAAATCAAGACAGCCTGTAGAAAGAGGAATGGGAGAGTCCAAAGAGTTCCACCTCCATTCCCAAATTCTTCTCCTTCCTCCCACTCTCCTGTCACTTTCTAAACCCAATCTCAGTGGTATATTTAATGAGAACACTAGACAGCATCAGTTCTGGGTATTTTTTAGATTAGGATTTGCAACCTACTTTTGGAAATCACTCACCCTGTTCCTGTAGTGCCCCAATTGCAATGGTCTGTGACGTATTAATTGGGAATACCAGAATATGGGTCAGTAAGCTTGAAGACTCAAGCCTCAAGGCTAACCAGCTTCCAGAAGAATCCTTAAATCTACATTCTATTTCCAGACCAATTCTGATTGTGCTAAACTTGGTTATCACCAGGAGTATCTATCAAGTTCATAAGTGTCTTGAGGAACCTGGAAGCCCTTTCTCTTCCCCGCATCCAGCAGAAATGGGTGTGAAATCTTATAATCAGCATTCAAAGTCCTTAAGATTCTTCACGGGCCACCCATTCCAGAAATCATTGCTTTGACACACTCTACCTTGTGTCCAATCAGCCACCATATCAGCCCTTATCCGTTTCTGGTCCAACTCCTATTTTAGTGCCTCATCTTAACTGTTTTTTCTGGTTTCTGACCAACTCCTCTATCTTCTGGTCTTGTGTCGTTACTTCTCCTTTCTAGCTTGGATATTTTGGGTGGTTTTCATGGGGATTTGATACATTTGACCCCTTTGGCACAGGCTGGCATCTCTCGGACTCATCTCATTTCCTATCTCTGGTTCCAGAGAGAATAAAGTCAAAAATCTCCGTGAGGTCTTATAGTTACAGGCATCACAAGGTCAGATACTGTGTCTACCTTACTTTCTCAATCCTGCCACATAGCCTAGCACATAATAGGTGTTCAACAAATATTTTTTGATGAATGAATAAATTATAGATATATCACACCTTGGGCAGGCAGATGGTGAGTTAACAGACTTTAATTATGCAAGTACTCCAAGTGTTCCTGGACAATCAATAAAGTCATACTTATAACCCACAGGATTAATGCTCATAAAGTGCTTTGAAATCCACAAAATAACAGTGCTGTAAAATAGTCAACTATTACTGAGTGGAGATGATCAGAGAGCAGATTGCACAATTCATTTGGGGTGTAGAAGATAGATTTGAGTAAGGAGGGAAAGAGAAATGGGACGTTGTGGGAAAAAAGAGAAAATAATCAATAAACAAATTAAAACTCACCTTTATCATAATCATCATCCTCAACTGCTTTCTCTTGAAGTTTCTGAAGCTTTAATCTTAAGGATTTTACCTATGTTGGTTTGAAGGGGAGAAAATGAAAACCAAATTACAATAGCATTCAAGCAAACATTTTGTTAAAGCTAAGAACATTTAGAAACTATTTCAAAACTGAACTTTTTTATTCTCCTCTTAAAAAAGAACTACAAGGTACATTTTTCCAATGCCAGATACATCAGTTTCAAAAAAAAAAAAGTTTTATGAAGAAAAAGTGTAATTTGGGCATCAAATCCACAGAGTTAGAATGTTATTTTAAACAAAAACATCACACTGTACCATTATCTGAGTGAAAAAAATGCATAATAAGGAGTAGTACAAATTTCTTGACCTGACCAAATGGTCTCTGTTCTAAAAATCACATTAAAATTATGAAGCTAAACACACCAAAATTGGAAGAGAAACCAAAAGAAGAAGAGCATGAACTTAAACTCAGCAGGCTGTCCTGAAGGCTGGTAAGAATGACGAGAAGGACTTCATAAAGCCCTTGTAAGAAGTCCTCAGGTTCACATACTTGCCATTATAGAAAAGGGCACTGTCTTATTTAACCTGCATATACAATCATTGATCCCATCATTTGTCTGAGAATTACCAATATTTTCATTTGTAATTACAGTCATGCACTGCATAATGATGCTTTGGTCAACAACGGACCATATATGTGATGGTGGTCTCATGAGATTAGTACCAGATAGCCTAGGTGTGTAGTAGGCTATACCATCTAGGTTTGTGTAAGTACACTCTGATGTTTGTACAATGACAGAATCACCTGACAACGTGTCTCTCAGAATGGGTCCCCATCATTAAGCGATGCATGACTGTATTTTTCTTCTCAACAGGAGGCCCATGGATTTTCTGAAGACGGATTCTTAGACTATGAACCAATAGATTTGGGCTTGCTCCCTGAAAAACACCTTCCTCCCATCCTTTGCCTGGCTTATACCTACATTTCCTTCATCACCTAGCTCAGGTGTCACCTCTTCCAGTCTGTGTTAAATGTCCTTCTCTCATACTGCCATTGTGACCTGTACTTGCTTCTATTCATACCATCCATTTAACAAATATTTACTGAGTGCCTCTTAGGTGTCAGACACTGCTTGAGGTGCTGAGGATACAGCACAAAATTCTTAGCCCTTTAGACTTTCATCCTCGTGTAGGAAGACAAAAAATAAACATAAGTAAGTTTTATGGAGACTTAGAAAGTAATTAGTGCAATGAAAGAAGAAAAAAGTAGAACCAAGTAAGGGGGATAGGAATGCTGGTAGACGGTGGGGTTGAGATTTTAAGTAAGATATCATTGAGGAGGGGACATTTGAGCAAAGATTTAAAAGTGGTAAGGGACCGAACCAGGAGGCTCTCTGGGAGAAAAACATTCCAATACAGAAGAGCTGGCACAAAGGCTCCAGGCAGAAGCAGTCTTGGCATTGCAAAGAAAAAGCAAGAAGGCTACTGGGTCTAGAGTGGATTGATTAAGGGCAAAATTGTAGAAGATGAAGTTGAGAGGTGATGAGGAATGCATCATGAACAAACATAAAAACCACTGAAAAGTTCTGATTTTACTGAGGGTTATGGGGAGCCACTGGAGGGTTTTGAGCAAAAGAGTACCTGATCTGATCATGTCTGAACAGTTTCATTCTGACTGCTGTGCATAAGGGCAGAAGTACGGGGGCCAGGTAGGAGGCTATGAAAATAATCCAGGAAGGAGGTGATGGTAGCTTGGATTATATGGGAGCAGTGAAGATGGAGGGAAGTGATCTGATTCTGGGTATATTCAGAAGATGGCTGCTTGCAGATAGAACCAATAGGATTTGCTAACAAATCACATATGGGGGGTGAGAAAGAGTCAGGATGATGCCAGGTTTTTGATCTGAGCCACTGGAAGAATGAAGTTGCAAGGAATTATCTGAACACTTATCATACCTTTGTTGTGTTTTGTCTGTGAACTCCATTTGTTCTTGAGCATCTAGAGGGCAAGAACTATTTTGTATCCAAGTAGAAAATGGCAGCACTCACCCTTATTTGTTTCTCCACTGCTCTGGGCACATGGAAGGATTACACTTCCCTCTCCACCTTGTTCTGGTTAACGGGGCATGACTGGAAGTGACAGAGGTCACTTCTGCACTGAAGCATTTAATTGCTCTTGTAGGATCCCTTAATGTTCTCTTCCTTGTCTCAGTGATTGAGTGGGCCATACATTCAGAGGGTGCAGGCTGGGTTCCTAAGTGACTCTATGGAGAGAAGCCCCCTACCATCTCTGTGGAACTTGAAGCATAAGCCAGAAACATAAATTTGGTTATGTTAAGCCTCTGATATTGCGTTACTGTCTGTTACTAACCTATTCCACCTAATACAGTCTCCAAAACCAGACATAAAGTGTTATACTAGTAGTTGTCAGTAAATACTTTCTGAATGAATGAAAGAGTGAATGAATGACCACCTTAACCCCTTTATCCTTGAGTTGCTCCACATGACAAGTGCAAATTTTACTGGTAACTTAGTCTTATATATTAGAGACAGAAGAAAGGCTGTATGGTGGTTCAATTGCCATATAAAGCTGTAACATTACATCACCACACCCAAATGATGGTATTATTAAACACTTACTAGAGCAGGAGCAGAAGAACTACAGAAAAGAAGGTCAATGAAAACATTTATAACCAATGCCCACCTCACCTTACCCCTCTCATCCAATTATCCCTCTAAGACCCTGACTTGTTGCCCTGGGATATGTTTGAATGTCCATCTTTGCTGCAAGCACAACCACTGATGGGTATGTCTTATCCAGTGACCCAGCCCATGGGAGGCAGGCAATTTCTTTCTTTTCCTCTGGCTTCCACAACCTGAGGTGGGGCCTAACTTGCAGAATTCTGCCTACTTCCCTCCTCTGCACATCCAGTTAGCATTTCCTTTTATCACATTTTTCTCAGCCCCACCCAATCCCTGGCAATAGTCCCTGGGTGGCTATTTCTAAACAGCACAAAAAACACATATAGTCGATTCTCATCCGTGGTAGTTATGTTCTATAAAGTTGCTGGGAACATAAATCAGCAAATACTGAACCCTGGCTTCTGGGGGAAATACAGAGTTAGGCTCTTGAGAGCTTCTGGTCACACCATTTTTCTCAACTGATCAATATATAACCTTGTTTTATATGATTCAGTTTAAAGATGTCTTATTAAATATATATTGCTGATTCATTAGCACCGAACTCATAGCCAACAGCGCTACAACTCATGTGTGAATGAAGCTTACCTAACACATGTATTTTCTCCAAAAGGCACATCACTGCCTTCTTGCACTTGGGAACGCTAGACAGCACTTCAGCATTATGCTTGGGGGCCATTTTAAAACAAGAAATCACCAACAAAAATGCAAAAAACGAGGCACTAAATAGACCATGAAAAGGACACTTGTCTACAGTATGAGAGCTGAAACAAGATGGCAGAACATCACCTGTTCACCTGCAGCTGGGAAAGTGTACGTCAGGTAACTCAAATTTTTAGCCACTCTGGTGCATGTCCACAACTGACCAGGAAAGCACTGTGAGCGTTGACTTGGGAGTTATCAATAAATTTTAGCAAGTAAGCAAATTTGCAAATATAGAATCCATGAATACCGAAGAGCGACTGTCTTTTAAAAGGAGCTAAAACTCAAGTCCCTGAGATTTGCATTTTTACTTAAGGAGAAGGGAGAGAGATTAAGGAATTAGAAATATAATATCTAAAAGTCCCCAGAACATTGGAATCCCAATCTTTCAAAAAATCTTTTTGAAGATCCTTAGGCCAATCCTCTCCCCACTCCTGAAGGCCTTCCCAGGAGCCTGAAGGAGCAATCCAGGGCCTCTGCACAAACACAGTGGAAAAAGCAGAGGCTCCCCAGCAGCCCCCGTCGTGGTAGATAACTCCAGGTGTCAGGAGCCTCTTTCTGGTCTTGAAACAAAGCCTGCCTTTCTATCAGTCCTGGTCAGAGTTCTTTTCCGTTACTCCCACCACACTGTATAAAGTTAATCCCTCTTCCACACAACAGGCATTCAAATAACTGAAAACAGCATCATGTTCTCCCCGTCCAGGTAGATTACCATAAACAAAGACACTTAAATTAGAGGTAAATGATGTCCAGATCCTATCATTTAAGACATGAGTTTAATTTGAACTGTGGGGAGAAGGGTGAATTTATTTTTCTTTGACTCAGATTCTCTTACTCTGAACTATTTCTCTAATGATAATAATGGGCAATATTCTGGGTACTTGCTCGGTGCCAGACTCCAACTGATGCGCTTTGCATGTAGGAGCACACTTAATCCTCAAGAGAGTCTAATGAGGTGGGTGCTGTGGTTATCTCCACCTTCTACAAGAGCATCTTGAGGCACAAAACAGTTAAGCCGATTACCTAAAGTCACACAGCCACAAAGGGAAAGCACGAGGCTACCATGCAGGCAGTTCCACTAACCTGCCACGCTGCAGAGCTCTGTGGGTAACAGACACCCACCCCAGCAGGCGCCCATGGGCAGCAGGGCTCACCCCTCCAGAATTCCGGAAGTGCGGGAAGCGTGTGCCAGGCACTAGGCGGGGCACCCCATGGGTGAACCAGCAGCAACCATGCCCTTCTTCCCCACAGAACAACCCTCTAGTAGGTTATGACCAATTATTTATTTTTAAAAGCTGCATTTGGGTGATAAAGGAGAAAGGGAGAAATGCAGCTAGGGTTGGTTTTATTTCTTTTTAAAACTAAACATCATGAAATCCAGGGGGCTGGCCCTGTGGCTTAGCGGTTGAGTGCACACGTTCTGCTACTGGCGGCCAGGGTTCAGATCCAGGGCGCGCACCAACGCACTGCTTCTCGGGCCATGCTGAGGCAGCGTCCCACATACAGCAACTAGAAGGATGTGCAACTATGACATGCAACTATCTAATGGGGCTTTGGGAAAAAAAAGGAGGAGGATTGGCTATAGATGTTAGCTCAGAGCTGGTCTTCCTCAGCAAAAAAAGAGGAGGACTGGCTTGGATGCTAGCTCAGGGCTGATCTTCCTCACAAGAAAAAAAAAATCATGAAATCCAAAAGGTGAGTCAAGGTGGCTTTCCGCAGCCACAGCCCCTGGAATTCCAGCTCCCAGCCCTCCAACAACCCAGTGGTTCAGAGAGACAGCACGGTCAGCCCGTGCATGGTGGGGCCCCCAGAAAGCCACATCTGCTCAGGGTTTCACAGACTTCAGTTTATCAAAAACTCTAGGTTCTCAGGAGGACGTGATCTATGTGCAGGTAAGAGGAGTTAAAAGCAAGAAAAAAACTCTTGTGGCTACCAAAACCCAGCAGGCCGAATCCTGTGGAATCGTTGCTAAGGCGAGTTTCTGATTGTTTGGTTATGCGGGAGGGAGGGAAGCTGGTCTGTTTTGCTTCACTTGAGTCAAAATTTGGATTTCTGAGACGGAGAGATGCAGATATGTTGCCAAGATGTTCTTAAAAGATCTTAGAAATGAAGTGTTGAAACTGGCATTTAAAGTCAGAAAAGTAGGATTACCCCGACCTCTACTTAGTGCCTTCATCCTTTGTGTGTCTGCCTCTCAGATTCTCTTCTTCTGCCTTAGACAGTTAATCCAGGAAATCCATCAATTAGATATCTGTGGCCCATGTTAACAAGATTTAGTTCACTGAAAACAAAAACTAGTCGAGCGCCTGCTGAGGGCCAGGAAGTATGCTAGGCGTCTGGCATCCAAAAACGTCTAGAAGTGACCTATGGTTATGGGTCTCGTGGTCAAGTGTAGAACTTGGACCCACAAACAAATCTTTATTACATGTGGTGACTGTTATAATGGAGCATGTCCAAAGTGCTATGGGGATGAATGGAAGGAGGGATTCATTTGTTCTAGCAGGGGTAGGAAATGGTTCACGAGGAAGAGGCTTTGGAGCCACACCAAAAGGGATAAGTAGGAGTGTGGCAGGTGGGAGGGTGCAGGAAGGTCATTCTAGGCAGAGAGGAAACAGTAAGCAAAGGCCTGAAGCACAGCTCTCTCTGGTGTCTACAGGAAGAGGAAGCAGCCCCAGATGGTTGAGCCGGCAGGAGTAAGGCATTGGGACAGGCTGGAGAAGGTTGGGAAAAGTCTCAGTGATCAGGATAAGGAGCTTGGACACTATCCTGAGAGGAGCAATGAGCCACAAAGGTTTTAAGCCAAGGAATAACACTATCCCGCCAGTGTGTTGAAAGATAGCTGTGCAGGCCACGCAGAAGACGAATAGGAAAAGAGAGACACTGGCGGAAGGTAAATATGTCAAGAATATCTTACAAAACCCAGGTGAAAGATAACAAGGATTTGAACTAGGGCAGTGACCATGGCCATGAGATGCAGGTTAGCTGTAGGACAGAGAGGGCATGGAGACTGACTGGATGTGGGGAGTGAGGGAGATGGAGGTATTAAGGACGATTGCTCTCTAAGGAACTGGATGGATTCTGTTAATTCAAATCAACAAATATGTATCAAGAATGAGGCTCTTAGAACAGGTTTGGTGGGGAAGACAGTGGCGTCAGTTTTGGGCGCGTCTAACTTGAGGATTCCATGCATCACCTGGGAATAGAGACCTGCATGTCTGGCGTGGCTTTGCTATCTCCTTGAGTTATAAATCAGATGGCTGAGCTGAGGTCCCTGTGGGCCAGAACAGGGGCCAAACATCATTGAAAGTAAACGAGATGCGATCGCTGGGAAGGAAAGTGAACTTCACATTTTCAGGTACTTCTACCAAATGCCGATAAGTGGGTGCTCTACTTTCCCACTTACATGTACGTATGTACACACGTGCACACATACACACATACTCATGTGCACACACATACACAAACAACACCCCAGAAGGAAAACACAGTCTTTCAACATGATGGGGTACACAGCCCAATGGGTCAGCCATGAAGCATCTCTACCTGGGTTTCTCTGGGAACTTTTTAGTAGAACAATCTTGCCTTCTCCCAGTTGTACCCACCTCTCAATTACTGGGTGGACAGCACTGTTATGATGCTAGGACTTATATTTACACAGTCTGTCCCAATTTCCAAAGCACTGTCATACTCATTTGAGCCAAAGACAATCCTGTGTGGTGTTGATACCTCTAAATAAGGAAACTGAGGCCTGAGAGGTTGAATGACCAGAAACAAAGTCTCCAGACTCTGTGTCAGGCAGTTCCCACCACAGCAGGGTGAAATGAGATGAGGGCAGTAATACAAATGAGGCTGAGGATCACCCCCAGTGCAGGGCATCACCATCTTTATATCCCTCAACCCCGTCCACACCCAGCCAGCTCCACCTCCCTGCTCCCTGGCCCTGACTTCCTGTTTCAAAGCAGAGCTAACCACGCATCACCTAGGTCAGGAACTGCAGAGGGGCCGGGGGCCCCACAGAGAGCAAATCAGACCATCTAAACGAGACAAAACGAAAGAAGATGAAAATGAGAACAGATTTGTGTTCAAACTGAAAGAGAAGACACAGAAGTGCAGAAATCTGTGCAGTAACATCTTTTTGCAGCCAGCCACAAAAGGAGCTGCTGCAGCTTCTAGGGGGGATGTCAGTCAACCCCAGAACCACTCATTTCCTGCCCTCTGCCCAGAGCTAATCTGAGCTGTGACAATTGCGGGGCCCCAGAGGCTGGGGAGACACCCACCTCCAGCTGCCTCCGGTCACTCAGCAGGCAGTCCAGCAGCACGGGCTCACATTTCCTGAGCAGCTCATCCCAACGGTGAGCGTCTGCCGAGCTGCTGCCCTCGATCCATGAGGAATCCGGGGAGTAGGAGGAGGCAGTGTCCGTGTCCGGCAAAGATGCCATCTCACACTCCAGCCCGGAGCTGCTCCCTGCAGCCTGGGGAGAGTCTGCCAGGCCCTGAGTAGCCTTGAGATTGAAGGGGGGAGAGAGAAGTCGAGGGTGTTCGTGGGGCCTGTCCAAGCTGGCAGCCTTGGGTTCCATCTCCTCAGTCCTCTGATGAAGGGCCTCGGCCTCTCTGGATGGCGGGCAGCCTTCCGCTTCTCCACGTTCCCCGGCAGAACCAAGTGAGAGCCGTATGAAGCTAAAGCTAGAGGTGAAGGCATCCTGAGAGCCGGCAGGGGCTGAGGGAATCTTCGGGCCACTTCGGAGGCTGCAGCTGTTGCTACTCACCTCCTTTGGGGCCACACAGCCTTTCGTCCAGGTGCCCCTTGCTCCTTCACCACAGGCTGCATCCCAGCCAGGGCCCGGGGCCTCAGAACTGTCCATGGGTGGAAGCTCCCCCTGACACACAGCGTCCCTAGGACCACAAGACCTGGGTAGCCTGTCGGGCAGTTTGGTGCCAGCTCGGAGTTGAATTCCAAAGATCCCTGAGGTTCCTCTCACAGGGGTCAGAGGCAGGCCTGGGCGGTCCACAGATGTCACAGCTGTTGTCTTGGGAACAGGACTCCCAACGGAGGAGACTTGCCACTGGCCTCCTGGGTCAAGTCCACATGGTCCAGTCCTGGACTCAGAGTGGTGGAACTCCTCACCACACGCCCCTCCCTGGACCCAGAATGGAGTGCCCACTTCTGGGGAGAGGAACCCGATCCGGGGCCCAGCTGTGCTTCTCATGTAGCCAGGCCTCCGTGCCAGCCGCTTCTTCCGAGAAGATGCTGCAGGTGGTAAGCAATCCCAGCTGCCTGGAAAGAAAAGAGAAAACGGCACCGTAAACACACAGATCTCACTGGCTTAGCAGGAACTGCGTTTGAAGAACATCCTCGGCTTAGAGGTCATCTCTCAGTGCATCTGCCAAAGAGAGATGCTGGCTCAGTGTTCACGGGGCCAACCGTTAGGAAAATTCTGATGATCCTTGGGAAGTGTTTGCCTTGAACGTGTAGAAACAACACAGCGTCTCAACTCTTTCAATGAGCAGAGCAGCTGGCGTTGCTATGAGTTATGCCAACACATCAGCATGCACAATGGAGACACAACCTCGGCAGCTCCTTCTGAACCCTCCAGCATCTTGCCTGTTAGTCTTTTAGGCACATCAGCACTTTCATCCTGGGGGGGCCTGGAAAGCAAATGATTTGAAACCAAATGCCAGAGCACTTCTCAAAATGAGATCCAGTCACTAATTCTAGGTACTTGTAGAACAATACGTGAGTTCTCATTATCTGAACTATCCGGGTCCCTGCATGCCTGTGGACCATGGAGAGCTGGCTGTGACACAATTTATGCCCATTAATTCATTTCACACAGTGGACTACAGGAGGCCCTGCTTGATGTGTTCTCCAAACCAGGAGCTGTGTTCCTCCCAGCTATGCAAGAGGAACAGAAACAATAAAAAATATTGATACCTCACAAAGGCAGGATAGTACAGCAGTTGAAAGCATAGACTCTGGCACCTCATTACCTGATTCAAACCCTAACTGTGCCATTGCTGGCTGTGTGACCACCCGCAAGTTACTTAACCTCTCTATGCCTCAGTTTGCTTATCAGTAAAATGGACATATTAACACTACCTCTCTCATAGGGTGGTTTTGAGTATTAAACCAAATGAGTTTCTGTATGTAGACAGCTTAGAACAGTGCCTGGCACACGTAATAAATGTGATCAAAGTGTTAGTTATTATTTTTACATTGCATAGCACCATGTTATTCATAATGTGTTTTCATCTACATAATTTCATTTGCTCCCTACCAAAATCATGTGAATCAATCAGACCAGGAATCATAACTTTCCTTTTATAGTTAAGAAAACTGAGGTTCAGAGATTTGACACACATCTTCCTCCACATCCCAGAATAGAGATGGTCATGGTAAACAGAAGGCACTAGGCATTTAGGATCCCACTGTGCTATGATCATGGCACACACCAGTTTCTGGAATGAGTGTCATTGATAATCCCTGGGGAAATGAGCACAATGACCCATGGGCCACCTGTTCCCTGAATTTGAGCATCTGAGGACAAGAGAGCCCAAGATGTGTTTACCCAGTGGCCTGCTCTTGCCAACCGGGCATGCCAACTGCTGAGACCCCAAGAAGGGCTAATACCACCCCACGTACACAGAATTCTGGAAGCTTGCAGTGAAGGGAGGAACGGAAGCAAGGGCTACAAGCAAGAGGGTGGGAGAGGAAGTCAGGATGAAGGAAGGGAAGGAGGCATGTAACACTACAACCCCAGGAGCTTAGTACCATTTCATTTTATAAATAATAAAATTAAAGCTCAGAAGGTTTTAATTTGCCCCAGAACTCCCTGATCATAGTTTACCAAAGCCTGTTTTGCTCATTACTGAACAGCACAATGCCTTACATTTAAGTTGCTTAATAAATCGTGAATGAATGAATGGATGCGTGGAGGGACAGAGGGAAGGAAGGATGGATGGAAGGATGGATGGATGGATTGGTGGGTGAACTGAGGCCTACCTGATTCCAAAACACATGCTCTTTCTATATCCTTTGCCTCCAAGTATATCACTTAGGATAACTTGAAATGACAAGAAATCAGAAGAAAGATTTATTTTTCTTTTTCCTTCACAACAAAAGCCATGCAAAGTTGGAATCAGTAGAAAAGGACATGATGAAAATGTACAGAAGGAATCATTAATATCATTAATAGGCCAAATTGGACTACCCATTAGGACAGCTACTATAAAAAAAAAAGTGTTGATGAGAATATGGAAAAATTGGAACCAGTTGTACTATATGTGGGAATGTAAAATGGTGCAGCTGAAAACAGTATAGTAGTTCCTCAAAAAATTAAAAATAGAATTACTACATGGTCTAGCAATTGCACTTCTCAGTATATACGCAAAAGAATTGAAAGCAGGGTCTCAAAGAGATATTTGCACACTCATGTTCATTGCAGCATTATTCACAATAGCCAACGATGGAAGCAACCCAAGTATCCATCAACGGATGGATGGATAAACAAAACATGGGATGTACATACAATGGAAAGTTATTTAGCCTTATAAAGGAAGGAAATTCTGACACATGCTACAACATAGATGAACCTTGAGGACATTATGCTAAGTGGAACAAGCCAGTCACAAAAGGACAAATATTGTTTGATTCCACTCATATGAGGTACCTAGAAGAGTCAAATTAATAGAGACAAAGTAGAAGGGTGGTTGCCAGGGGCTGGAGGCAGGCAGGCGGGTTGGGGAGGGCGGGGGACTAAGTGTTTAATGGGTACAGAGCTTCAGTTTGGGAAGATGAAAAAGTTCTGGAGATGGATGGTGGTGATGGTTGCACAACAATGTGAATGTATTTAATGCCACTGAACTGTACACTTAGAAACGGTTAAGAGGGTAAATTCTGTGTTATATGTATTTTACCACAATTAAAAATTTTTTTTTAAATTTCAATAGACCAAATTGGATCCGCATGCTTTCTGGTCCAAAGGAGACCCAGTACTTTCCCTCAGAGACTTCATCATCTGAGGATGTCGCCTGCACGTCAGAGTCCTGACTGCAAGGAGAGCAGGCTGCAGAGGGCTACGGGAGCTCAAGAGGGAGCAGAGGGAGGCCAGGAAGAAGGACTAACTCTCATATGCCCTGGAAAACTGGCAAAATAGTTTTTAAAGAACAGTGAATCCAAAAGGAAGTAGGGAGAACATTGAATTCTGGCTTCAATTACCAAAAGAAAACAATTCAGCAACTTCATATCTTCAGAAAGGGGTCCTGTGAAATCTATATTGTCTTTTGACTTAAAAAGATATTTAACTATTTTTTTATGCAAGTACCAGTCACCCAAATAACCCTTCTAAAGTTATAAGAACAATGCTAAGTGGAAAATATTTGTTTGAAATTTCGTTTCTTTTCAAATGCTTAAGGGCACTTCGGCCTGAACAGCCTTTTCTAAAGCCATTTAACCAAGGGCCCAACCCATGCACCCACCTGAGCACTCAAACATCCTAACTCCTGGCTTGGGCCGTCCCAGAACGTGGCCCGAGAAGTAGAGACTGTCACACACTATTAATCCTAACCCTCAAGAGAGGGCAGAGGAGCTGACAGAGCTGGATCTGGAGGGCGCTTCTTGAATGAGCTAGAAGGATTGGAAGGAACTCATGTTGGGCAGACGTCTGCTCTGAAACCTCAAGGAAGACCCCTGTTCCCTGTAACCAAAGTCCCCTATTTTCACTTTTTTTTTATTTTTATTTTTTGGGGAAGCTTATGATGTCCCCTCTGACCAGAAATCAATTATTACTTACGTACTCCGCCTGAAATCTGCCTATCAGATTTGCGTAAAATCCAAGCCCTGACATCATGCCCTGAAGTTAAGGAAGGGTTATGATGCATTCAGACCTTAGAGAGAAAGAGTCCTTCCTGACATCTAACTGCAATCAGCTCAGGGAATGGAGATCAGAGCGAGCAGGAAGTAGATTGTGGTATGGCGAGGGAGGGCCCAAAGTGCAGGCAGGCTTGGAGAGCTGGCCCGAGAAACCAGATGTGCCCTCTGTTCTTTGTAAAACCCAGAGGTGGCTTAGTTACGGCCATCTGGCCCCAGAAAGGTGGAAAAGGAAGCCTCACTCAGCCTTCTTCATCTCTTACAGCCTCCCACTCCATAACAGATTCTAGGGAGGGGAGGGATAGATTCCTCTCCATCGTGCACACCTCTGTTCTCTGGTTATACAGGATCCTCATCTCCACCCCCATCCAGCCTAGTGAGCTCTGAGATTGAAGGGAAGTGAAAGACAGTAACTTAGAATAGGCCCAAATGTCAAAGGACCTCTATACAAGGTCCAGATAAGGTGCCCAGAAATATCTGCTTACCTAACTTATGGGGAAAATTGGGGGAAGCCAATGTTAACCAGCCAGATCAGCAAGAGTCCTGTCTGCCTTGCCTCTAATACTCTCCCTCCATCCATCCAAATCCTTCCCAACCTTCAGCTTCCAACTCCCTTCCCCATCAACTACCTTGTCCTGATCACCCAGTTCACAGGGCTTCACCAACTGTCCACATCACTCCTTTCCTCCTGTTTATTAACACCCAGCACTGTTAGTTATTTTCTTTGGTGTATCTAAATTGTTCCCAACTTATGTTATATATAAGCTGCCTGAAGTCCTTATAATTCCTCCAAAAGAATCCTAGTATATAGAGAAAGCATTCCAATACACATTGGCTATATAATAGCCATTTTTAAATAGGAAATCTAAAATGTGCAATTTAAGAAAACATGATACCCATGAATTTACTTGAAAGATCTTAATACCAAGACCCAAAGTTAAAATCTACACAAAATGTTCACATGGGCTTGGGCAAGTCCCTTGGCTGCCCTGTACCGCATGATTCTCAGGCCTCGTGGGGAAAGCCTGTCTGCCCCCTGAAGGGGAGATACAGGGACTTGAGGCCATGGCTGAGAACCCATAAATAGAGAAGAACAGGAACATAAAGGCTTTACAGAACCTGACTTGGGTACAAATATAGAGTGGAAGCATAAACGAATATATTCTTTGCATGGAAGGAATTTTAATCCTGTTTGTCATGGTTGGGCATAAGAGTTTTATAAAACATTCAGGTTAACCAAAGACTCAGAATCATAAAGAAACCACACATCCCTGTGGATTAACTTGTTTTCAAAGAATGAGAATCGAATAATATAACTAAGCACAAACACTCGACTGAGCATGAGTTCATCTTTTGTCGATAGTTCAGAGAGCACCTGAGGATTCAGAGGGTCACTGTCATAAGCATCT